AGGCAATGGTAATTCTTGGATATTCTATCAAGTATCTGATGGATATTTCTGCAGGATGATTTTGTATCATTGTTTTATAAAGCCCCTGATAGATAAGTGCAGGATATTCTATACAAATTTTCACTGATAACATGTTTCATCTAAAGAAACTTAACATAGTGGCCTCAAGGCAAATTTAGACCAACGGAAGCCGAAGAATAATAAAACTACATATCTCAGTTGCAACATATACATAATGAATTTAGACCAACAAAGGATTTAAAGAGCAAACTTTTCTTAACCAAATTAAACACTAGTAAGAGCTGACTTGCAACATATTCAGAATGTAGGTGGATATATTCACCAATAGTTCATTATCTACCTTCGAACATTAATAATGTATATTTAGCAATGATTGATAATAATAACAAGAAATCTATAAATTAGAAAGAAAAGTTATAAAATTAGGGTTTTGAAAATAAAAAGAAAAAAAATAAAGTCTAAGAAGTGAGAAGTGAACTTACCGTGAAGAATTAGGGTAGAAAACAATCGCGGTTGAGAGAAATTTGAAGGATGAAAGAAGTTTGAAGAACGAGGGTGCAAGCCGCTAGCAGAGAGAAGTCTGAAGGAGGGTTTGAACCGCTAGCTCACTTCCGCTTCTCCTTCTCAAATATAATTTGTTTATCTTTGTCCCAAAAAAAATTATAATATAAATGTATCCAAATTGTTACAAACACTAACACTAATAATTTATCTTTATAATAAAAAATTTATACTTATTTTATAATTAGAATAAAAAACTATATTATTAATATATCCAAACTTATTAGTTTAAGTATAAGATTTTAAGTAATTTTTAGTTCCTTTTAAAAATATCATTAGTTTTTTTTAATTTATATTAAAAAAAATTATTGATTAATAGTATATATAAGTTTATAAGACTTTAACGAGGGTTTAACCGAGGGTAATTACCGACGGTACAAAACCGTGGCTGCTTTCCATGGCTAAGCCGTGGATAATGTTTAAAAAAGATATGATTGATATTGTTTCAGGTACTCACGAATTACTGACGAATAAACCCTCTATACCAAAAAAATTATCGACGACTACATGGCCGTGGGTAATGATCCGTGGAGAAAACTCCAAGAACAAAAGCTCTAGAGTCCAAGGAATCAAGGTAAGGGTGGGTCTTTCCACGGTTATGAAATTGTATGATATTATATGATGGTGTAGCGGGGAAATTTGTGAGTGTAAGCTATTGATTAACTTAACTCAACAAAAAAAAAAGAGTCGCCGCCGCACTTTTATTTTATCCAAAAAAAGAAAGGAAAAAGAGCGACAAAACCAAAGAGTTCTAAAACAAGAACAAGAACGAATATCTGGGTAAGGGGGTTGGTTGCGCAATGGGAAGGTGTTAGCACCCAAAACATCTATAGTACTCTATAGGAGTCCTTTGAAATATCTACGCTTTTTGGTTTGAAAATGGTTTGTTTTAAAAGAGATTGGGGAGATGAGAAGAGAATTGTTTTTTTAGATTTTTGTGTTTGAAGAGACTTATCGCCTCATGCCTACGTATCCACAAAGTGCAATATAGGATCAAAACCTCGTAGTTCGTGGTACAAATAACCAAAATTTATTGGTTTTGATTTATTTTAAATGTAAATACAAGTCATCATTTTAAGGAGAACACTACGACTAGTCGCCCACAAGTATAAGACAACATTTGCGTCACCTGAAGATAGAGGATTTGCTTGGATTATCAACAAGTCTATCACTCAACATCTAAGTGGAAAATGTCAAAATCTTAATACTATGGAGAATAGGAGAATTATATCTCAACTATGGAAATGGCTCATGTCTAAACTTTATGGAAAAAAACTTTAAAAAATGAAAAGTGCATAAAAGGCACAAAAAGAATGATTAGTTTCTTTTTTTTTGTATTTTTATGTCTTTTGAAATTGGTCAAAGTATGGTTAGCATTGATATACATTTTTTAAAGAAAAATAAAGTTTGAAAATTACTTGACGAAAGTCAAGGTTTTATTGCGAAAGCGGTTTTGAAGTTTGAAAACAAGAAGGTTTTTAAAAGAGGGAGAAGATTTTGAAAATTTAAGAAGGGGAGAAGATGAAGTGACTACCCTAGAAAGCAAAATAAAAGTTAAAGATAAGAAGGATCTAACCAACTTGTAGCACACTCCATAGCAAGCAAAAATAATTCCATTCATCTTGAGCATAAGCAAGTGAACAAGCCAAATAAAGGCAAAGATTCACAACATTCCAAGCATAGGTAAAGGGTCCTAATTCTAAGTCCAAGGGTCCAAGAATAGTCCAAGAGCATAGCCACAAAGTTAAGAGCACCAAGTTTTTTAGAGGTTTGATCTTTTATTAGTGTTTTAAACAAAGTATGGTCCAAATGGACAAGAGAAAGAAAAAAAAAGTGGCGGAAACATAAACATGTGTCCAACGAACAAAAGAAAAATGACGGAAGCATAAACAAAAGTAAGATATGAGATAATAATAATGGAGCACAAAAATAAAAGAGAGATAGGGAGCAAGAAGGAAACATAAACAAAATTAGTACAATGATATTGTTAGTGAGTTAGTAATTAGTACAAATGATCAACGACGGTTAACTCTTGCACTTAGACCAAGGTTAATGAAAACTCATTAGAGGCTTGATAAAACCAAAGTCTCCTAACAACAAGCTTCATAGATGATGGACTTAAGACAAATAATCAACCATACTTGGACTTTCAAACATAGGTTTGAGCCACGAATGATCACTTTCCGATTACGGGACAATTTAGCGCTATGTTAAGCAATCGTAATCGGGTTTATGTAGAAACCACGACTATCTGAGGCCGGTCAATAATAATGCTAGTGCTAATGCATGCTAGAGAAGTGATATGTAGATCACTCTCCGAAAACAATACCGCACAAAAAGAAAAGAGGTAACGATCTTATCTTCATCAAGAACTTGAAATAAGTTCAAACGATATTGAAGATTTTCATCGATCAAAAGAAAAAGAAGAAGAGAGGGAATGCCAAATTGAATTACAAGCTCAAGATCATTCCATCTTTAAGTTCATCTACTCATCTTTGTGGATTAAAGTACTAAACATATCATTAACTCAAAGCACCTAAAATGAATTGAACAATTCACTTTAAAGATAGATTTGAATTAATGAATGTTTACCAAACTTCATCTACACCCTAAGTCCAATGAATTTAAAGAGGAATGTGAGTAGTAGTTAGAAGTTATAGGAAGTTGAGTTTATTCCCATGAAAATGTTAGATTCTCACCCTTTTATGCATGAGAATAAGTATGATAAAAATGACGTGCAAACAACATTTCTGAAAATAAAAAGTATCCGAAAATAATTTTTAAAAACTTGAAATAAATATGAGATTGTTGCATTTTCAATATTACATTCTTGAAAATGTAATTTCAATCCTTGAAACAAACACACCCTATATCATATTCTCAAAAATATAAATATATTCCCGATCCTTAAAACAAACATAACCTAAGTAGTGAAAAAATATGTACATCCATCAATACTATTTTTTTCACCAATGTGAGAAAAAAAATATTGTTAGAAAAAAAATGATCATAGTAATTTTCAATGTGAGAAAAAAATATATAGAAAAAAAATATTTTGTTAAGCAATACTTTGTGAGAAAAGGGTAGAAAAATAAAATAAAATAGAGTTACTATTGTGTAAATATTTTTCTACTCGCGTACCCAATCCGTCATAATATTATGAATCCACGTGTAATACTATTTATTTATTTAACTTATTTATATATTTAGATTATTTCAAATTTCCAATACACTTTTTCACTTCACATTTCATAATTTAATATATGCACTTAGTAAGTACTTGGGACACATCTTCTCACTTCTCAACTTTCAGACTTCTTTAGTTCTCTTACATCATGTTTTAGAGAAAATAAAAAAGTTATGGCATATATAAAATTACATAATGTTTTTTATTTTAAAGAATTGACTTTTGACGTCTTTATTGTTTTTCATTCATACTAAAGACTTTATTCACATTTCTTATTTAAATGAATTTTTTAAAATACTAAAATAAATTTCTTAAGTCACTAAATTTTTTTTATATATTTCGATCAACTCGATATTGTCTTACATTAACCCGGTCTAAACTAACATATATACTATCAAGTTTTTTTCGGATTTAGGTAGGAGTTAGGGTCATTAAAATAGTCCGATCAAAATTTAGAACAAAATTAAAGTTAATCATAGTCCGATTAAAATTTAAGACAAAATTAGGATTAATCATAACCCTTCCCGACCCGACTCTTGCTCACCCCTAATAACTATCAACTTAGTCGACTTAACAAAATTATCACATTTTACTAATATAAAAAATGCACTTGTGTTAACATAATTGAGATTTATCTTCTAGAAATAAAATAAATTAATATTGAATTAAATGAAGTTTTGTTAAGCAATTTCATCAGCTTATGTATCTCGTCTCTCACAAATTATTTAATAAAAATTGTAAAAACTCAAATGGGAGAAGTTGCTAAAATATTGGTTGATCATACAAAATGATAAGAACGGGAATCTAAATATTTTTCTATTATTGTGTAAATAAAGAAGTAACAGGAGGAACGGCTCCAGTTGATTAGACTTTGTGAGAAAAGGGACAAAAATAAAATAAAATAGAGTTTATATTTGTGAGAAAAGGGCAGAAAAATAAAATAAAGTAGAGTTTATATTTGTGAGAAAAGGGCAGAAAAATAAAATAAGATAGAGTTTATATTTTCTCATTCTCATTTTCATACCCAGTGGCCAGCTGATGCAAGGTGGAAGGAAACCTGGCTTTCCCATTAATTATTCCTTCAACAACAGCGAAACTTTTCTGTTACGATCAACAATTGTTCTATTCCAAAGGGCTACAACTTCATCACTTTCTAAAATCAATTTACCTATTATAACAGTTACCAACAGTCGTCCCTGTGATTAACCTCACTTCAACATTGAAATCAAATTCACAATTCATATGTTTCAACCACAATCTTTGGTGCAATACTCAACTCCTGATCAGCTTCTTTTCTCGATCCTTCCCAAAGTCTATGTTCAATCCCCAATTTCCGCAACTCCGAAAGCCCTTGCTCCACTGAAATTGAAGAATATGACAAGAACTCATCCGTTAGCATAATTATAGTCACATCACCAATGTAGGTAAAATTAAAGCATAATCTACAATATGATCTATATGAGAACACCAGCACATTTGAAGAAAATTTAGACACCTGCTGCTTCTATTTTTGAAGTGCAGTGTGTTGTCTGATACAAGCTGCTAATACAAGTCTGATGTAAACACGCTCCTAAAAGTGTCTATTGTGAATAACTCATGTTTAAGTCAGTTGTTTGTGCAATAAGTAACTGTTGAACTCATAGTTTAAATCAGTTGTTTTTCCTCAATTTGATCTTCTCAGTTCTTGCTCAAGAGCTTCTATACTTGTTTGATCATCTTCAAGCAAGACTCTTGCATTGCTAGATTGAGTGGCTATGAGATATTCATCGATCAAGCAATAGCCGATGATTGTGACTGAATTCATCAGACACTGATGGCTGAGTCAGAACCAATCAACTTGGATCAAGCCCTAAATGGTTCGAATTGGTTGGCAGCCATGAAGAAAGAATTAGAGGTCATTGACAAGAACAAGACCTGGGAGCTAGCAGATAAGCCAATTGATGTGAGTTGGATAGGTGAAGATGAGAACAAATGATCAAGTTGCAAAATACAAAGCAAGGCTAGCAGCAAGAGGCTTCTTACAAAGACTTGGTCTAGACTTCAATGAGATCTTTGCATCAGCAGCAAGTCTTGAAACCATCAAAATTGTGGTGTCCATTCCTGCACAGAAAGGTTAGTACCAAATGTAAAGTCGGCATTTCTGAATGGATCATCAGAAGAGAAAGTCTTACTGAGCCACCCACTAGAATTTGAGCTCAAAGGGCAGCAAGGAAAGGTGCTCAGGTTGAGAAAGGCCATATATTATATGGCTTGGAATAAAAAGAATAACCTCTTTATCAAACTAAGCTTCACAAAAATGCACATCAAAACATGGAGTGTATGTTAAGCATGCAAATGATCATTTGTCTATATGTATATGATCTGCTTGTCACAAGCTCAAACAACTCAGAAATGTAGAAATTCAAGACAGCCATGATGCATGAATTCAAGAAGCAAATGAAATGCTAGTGAATGGCGATCTTTTCAATCAAATGATAGGATATTGAGATACTTTTGCAATACTAGACCTGACCTGTGTCGGTGTTGGTCTAGTGAATAGATTCATGGAACAACCAAAGGTATCACATCTAAAAGCTGCTAAGAGAATTGAGGTATGTCAAAAGCACCACTAATCATGAAAATAAGAAGTTTTTGGCTATTCTTATTCAGTTTGGAGTAGAGACTAAGATGAAAGAAAGAGCACAACTAGATATTTGTCTATGATGGGCAAAGCTTCAATCTCTTGTTGTTTTAAGAAGCAAGGGATTGTTGCACTATCATCTTGTGAAACTGAGTATATTGCAGCTTCATTTGCAGCATGCCAAGTTCCAAGGGTAGGAATTTTGTTGGATGAATTGAAGATACCAAGGACATCTAGCATGAAGTTGCTTGTAGACAATAAATCAGCAATAGAATCATCCAAACATCCTGTTAGCCATGGCAGGAGCAAGCATATAGAGAGGAAGTTTCCTTCGTGATCAAGTAAACAAAGGAAAGCTTGATTTGCAGCATTGCAACACTAATCTGCAACTAGCAGATATCCTCACTAAACCTTTGAAGCAATCAAGGTTTGATGAGTTGAAGGTTTTGATAGGAATGGAATCATTAAAAACTATGAGTTAGGTGGTGTATTGTGAGTAACTCATGGTTTAAATCAATTGCCTGTGCAATTACTGTTTTGTTAGTTAGAAGTTAGTTGAGTTTTTTATGTGAGGTAGTTATGATGGTTAGTAAGTTTTTGAGATTTTCTTAGGCAATAAGTAACCATCTATTGCACTTCGTAACAAACTATTCCATTTGATTCAATAACATTCCTTCAATTCCTATTCTTTCTTATGTGTGAAGCTTCTATTCTTTCTTATGTGTGAAGCTTCTATTCTTTTTCTCCATTGTTGATCAATTTATTCTATTCATCTCTTTTATCATCTCACTAGATCAGTTCATGTGTGATTGATGCAACAGTGGTATGGATTTTATGAGCTAAGAAGACTCTCCATAACACATTGCAATGTTTATGCTTCTTATTTCTGTTATTCAACTATCTCCCATGATCTAGCTTATAAAAACAATATCTTCCATAATTAAGGTGATTGGTAGTAAAACATTCACCCAAACAGTATGTTAATGGAAACATTTAAGTTGAACATTTTCTTCTCAACTAATTAGCATAATATATGGGTGATAAATGCATGAGATACAGAGTAATTGTTTAAAATAAAAAATTTACACAGTACCATCAACAGCGTCGTGCGAAGTAGGTGAATGCCTACTTCGACCAATCCAAAACAGAAGGCGTTCTTTGGCGACGTCCTCCTCTATACCATGAGCCTTGGCTCTTCTCCAAAAATAAGTCAGCCAGGCCTGACAGAGAGTAAATCCACTTAGAAAGCATGTTTTAGTATACAAATATACTTCTCAATGAGAGCAACCACCAACTTTACTGCTCAGTGGTCACAAGCCCAAGGTGTATTTGCAAGCCACAAATATCAATGAATAGGTTAAGTGGATAGAAGAATGGGGTAAATGATTAACAAAAAAAACATGTGATCTAGAATCGAAAAAAGCACGCCTTATAAAAGAAAAGTGAACTGTGATAGATACAGGCACTCAAAGAGGCTGACACTGATAAAGAGCATGGAATGATTAGCGAAATAGAACGAAATACCTCCTTGAAAAGAACATCCTCAGATTCCTCTGGACTCAGCTCTACAAAAACACAATGATATTTAATTATTATTTGCACAGAGAAACACTGCTCAGATACTTGGGCAACTAATAGGTGTGGGAAAACATACCAAATGCTTCCATAAACTTAGGATCCCCTGGTGATTTAATATCTGGTAACATCCAAAAGTGTACAGAATCAGAATGTTACCAGTACATATAAAATATATTTTAGTCTGACATGTTTTAAAGCATGTAGAAGAAAATGCTTATAAAATAAGCATATAGAAACCAAAGTATAAATCTTAGAATCTGTGGCTCACCTCTTTCTCGATAAATAGAAGAGCATGCTTTAAGAGATATTTCTAGATTTTTCAAAAGAGTTCGACTAGATGTCTGTTTTTTGTGTTTAGTTATTTAATTAAAATCTGTTAATTGAAATTGTTCCGGTAAAAGGATTTAAATTTTATAAAACCCCTCTTATAAATCCTCAACAGACTAAAGAGACAAGTATCTAGGTGCATGATTTGTGTTTAATATACACTTGAACAACAAAAATAAAAAGAATAGTGACATAGCATGAAAGCAAACCTAATACTAGTTGTCGAGCAGAATTTGGACTTGGACGCCGTTGTTGGGCCAATGCTTGCACAATAGCATCCTCAACCTTAGAAAACAAATAAAAAATAATATATAGAGATTAGCTTTGCCTATGTATGGCGACTCTGCTATACTGAAAAAGTATAAAGCAAATACAATGAAATCTAAACAAGATCACACAAAACTTATGGCTGAATTTTTTGCTATAAATGAACATGAAGAAAAACAAAATCACCAATGCCTTTGAACAACACCTTTAAAGAAGCAAGCTCCTTGAGTCCCATCTCAACCGAAAGCATACTTTCAATATTTCCTTCTCCAGTAAGATCATTCAAGTCTGGAACAAGATTGCTCCTCTTCTCTGTTGCATCATCGCCTGCTTAAAAGTCATAACAAATATCTACTGAAAACTCACAGGCCTATGTAATAGAATAATGAAAACCATCTCCATAAGCAAAGTATAACACAGTGGAGATATATTCTACTGTGCAGGAAAAATACTATGAACTGTAGAATCCAAATCTTTATTTCATGCCTTTTTCCCAGGATTCCTCCTTGGCCTTTTGTCCTGCAGAAACAACAATCTCAAATGGAAGAGGGGCTAAGGATGACCAAAGTTCATACTTTGAAACTGCAACATCTGCACAGATACCTGTAAACCATGGCAAATATTACACAAGATAAAAGATAGCAAGAAGTGAACTTAGAATTTATTCACTTGTGCAACTCCACCAAATTCAAACAAGATATACAACCAAAATATAATTTTAAGGCAAATAGATACTTAAAAGCTTTGATAATGTATTTCAATGGTGCCAACAGATACGTTTAGCCCAACCACCACAAGAATAAAATGAAAGATAAATAACCACCTAGTGTAGCTTAGTTTATTGACAGCTAAATCCAAAATATGCAACCAAGCCGAGTATGTATTCACACTCAATAGTTTTACAATGTTAGTGATGGTAACTCTTAGAAATAAGAATTTTCTAATCTTTTTAAGCTTGAATTTACTAAGTCTAAGTTGATATTAAGTGTGGAAGGAAGCATTTTATTTGAATTAGTTTTAATTAAGTCTATGTGAATATCTGTGTTTGGCACAGTAAAATGCCATGCTTTGGAATTGTATCTCTCTGATAGTGTGAAGCTAGTAATGCAGTAATGCTGCAAGGTGCTGCAGCATCTTGCATGAACTTAAGGGCAATTAAGACCTCCTTATATGCTGATGTGGCACAAAGTATTTAGTCAAGTGCTTGTGGTAGTATTGATGGAAGACATGATCCCCACCTCTTTTTGACCATTTCAGTTTGTTAAAAGTTCCACATCATATGAGAAATACCCTAAATATTTGTTTATAAGGGTAACTTTTACCTTACAAGCTGATTTTGAAGGGATGGAGTTAGGCACAGCCCAAACTCTAAAACAAAGGGGCAATCATCTCTACTTTTCTATTTTTCCGGGGCGGGTACACATTGGATTTGGGTCCAATTGTCATCCCTACTTTTCTATTTTTCTATGCACGACAATAATTCTAAGGTTCTACTGAAAGATATTAACACATGTCTTGAATTAAATGACTGAATTGCTTGAGAGACTAAACCCTCCACTAAAGGAAATAGAACAGAAACGTAAGCTAGAATACTTGATCGTTTATTCAAAAGACTGCTACAACTTTTATAAAGCCTTACAATTTAAGTGTAACTGAAATAGAGAAAAATAAGGAAAACAGAATATAACAAACTGGAATAAATCAACTCCTAAAAACTAGCTTATTAAGACCTATTCTCTAGCTTTAACGGTAAACCCAACAAATTCCTCCCCTTAAACTGACACATGCTTAACGAGCATCAGTTTACTCCTCAGGTCGTTGAACACCAAGCAAACCTCTAAGTTTCACAAACTGATCCAACTTAATAGGTTTAGTCATGATGTCTGCCACTTGATCATCAGTCCCACAAAATGCTAACTTCACAGCTCCTTCACTTGATAAATTGCGTAGATAATGATATCTAACATCAATGTGTTTTGTCCTTCGATGCATCACTGGATTCTTGGATAGTTTAATTGCCGAACTGTTATCACACATTATGTGAATGCAATTACAGTCTTTGAAGCTTAACTCTTTCAAAATTCCTTTCAGCCAGACGCAATGACATGCGCAGGCAGTGGCAGCTACATACTCAGCCTCTGTAGATGAGAGAGTCACTATCCCTTGTTTTCTTGAACTCCAACAGATTGCTGCTCCATTTAGTAGAAATACATAGCCCGAAGTACTTTTTCTATCGTCCACATCTCGTGCGTAGTCGCTGTCTGTGTATCCCAGCAGATTCGCATTTGTGCTTTTCTTGTAAAAAATTCCCAGTTCCAGTGTTCCTTTCAAGTACCTCAGTACTCGCTTTGCAATCGACATGTGTTCTTCTTTAGGTTCAGCCATATAACGAGAGATTAAGCATACCACAAACATTAAATCCGGACGCGTTACCGTTAGATACATTAAGCACCCTACTAGTTGTTTGTACAATATTGCATCAGCACCGTTGCTGCCTTCCTTTGACAGAACAGTACCAGGAACAATTGGATTCTTGACAGCATTACAACTCCACATATGGAACCTTTGCAAGACTTCCTTAGCATACTTCTTTTGGCACAAGTGAATTCCATCTTTACGCTGATAGATTTCAACTCCAAGAAAAAACTTCATTTTGCCCAAGTCTGTCATCTCGAACTCCTTCTGCATTGACAACTTGAACTCTATGCACATATGCTCATCATTTCCGGTATATATTAAATCGTCAACGTAAAGACTTACCGCCAATAGCTTGTTTCCATTTTTCTTCAAGAACAAGGTGTGATCATAGTTGCTTTTCTGAAACCCTTCCTTCTTAAAGTGACTCTCGATTCTGCTGAACCAAGCTCTTGGGGCTTGCTTTAAGCCATAGAGCGCCTTCTTTAGCCGATACACCTTATCTTCCTCTCCCTTTTTGATAAACCCTTCCGGTTGATCGATGTATACCTCCTCCTTTAATTCTCCGTACAAAAAAGCACTTTTAACGTCAAGTTGGTAGACACACCAACCACGCTGAGCTGCTACTGCCAGGAGAATTCTGATGGTATCCCAACGAGCCACCGGTGCATACACTTCATTGTAGTCTACTCCTGCTGTTTGTGAATACCCTTTGGCAACTAGTCTAGCTTTGCATTTGTCCACCTTACCTTCTTCATTCAATTTTGTTTTGTATACCCATTTAACACCAATTTTTTTTGCTTGATGTGGCAGTGGCACAAGCTCCCAAGTCTGGTTTCTCTCTATAGCTTGAATTTCAAGCTTCATGGCCTCCTGCCATTTTTCTTCCTTCGCAGCTTCATCAAAACTTACTGGATCATCATGAGAGATATACAAGGCTAAGTTTTGTTCTGGTACCTCTTCTTCAGATAAGCCTTCACCGCTTTCATAATTACTCATCCAACTAGGCTTCCTTCTCTCTCTTCTTGTTCGTTCTTCAGGTGCTGACTCTTCAGTTTCTGGAAACTCCGTTGCACTGTCGTATTCAATTTCTTCAACATCCTCATCAGTATCTTCTGCTTCAGGTTCTTCTGTCACAACTTCATCTTCTCCCCATGCAAGAACATTCTGCTTTACGTCTGTTGCGTTCAAGTTCCAATCCCATTTACCGCCTTCTTCGAATATGACATCCCTACTTATAATTATCCTTTTTGTTACCGGATCATACAGCCGGTAAGCTTTAGATTCCTCACTGACCCCAAGCAAGATGCATTTGCGACTTCGATCGTCAAGTTTGACTCTTTTCTGTTCAGGGACATGTACATGTGCAATGGAGCCAAATACTCTGAAGTAGTCCACCTTTGGTTTTATTCCTGTCCACCTTTCTTCCGGTACCATATCTTTTACCGCCTTTGTAAAACTTCGATTCAAGACGTGAGCCGTCCATCTCGCTGCATCTGGCCATAGGGATCTCGGCATCTCCTTCTCAGATAACAAACAGCGCACCATGTTCATGATGGTTCGATTCCTTCTTTCTGCCACTCCGTTTTGCTGTGGAGTGTATGCCGCTGTCAATTGTCGCCTTATGCCATGATCCTTGCAGAACTGGTTGAATTTATTTGACGTAAATTCTCCTCCCCTGTCAGTTCTTAGTCCGCATATGGAAGTCCTTGCTTCCTTTTCAACAAAACTTTTGAAGGTTTTAAATGCCTCAAAGGATTCTGCTTTCTCTGCAAGAAAATAGATCCAAGTTTTCCGAGAGAAATCGTCTACAAACACTAACAAATACCTCTTACCACTGTGAGAGATTGGAGTGATTGGTCCACACAGATCTCCATGAATTAACTCCAATTTTTCTGATGCCCTCCAGCCACTTTTCTTCGGAAATTTCCCCCGCTGCTGCTTTCCCACATTGCATACCTTGCAAATCTTGGCTGCTTCTTTCAACTTTGGTAACCCTTTTACCATTTGTTTTTGCTGCATTATTTGGATGGACTTGTTATTTAAATGCCCATATCTCTTGTGCCAGAGATTCTCCAAGTCTTCTTCCTCCATCTTCAAACAACTGCCGGGCAGTGGTTTCATCTTTGCATAGACCACGAACATACGATTCATAGTCATTGGAGTGTCTACTATCAAACCTCTTTGATGATGATAGATTCTGCAAGTACCCTCTTTAATTATGATCACTAAGCGTTTCTCCTGTAGCTGTCCTATGCTTAATAGGTTGTTGCTGAGATTTGGAACATAATAGACGTCAGACACGGTTTGTGTGATTCCTTGTACTTCAAACCTGACGCTGCCTTTTCCTTGAACCGCCATCCTTGAGCTGTTACCCAATCTGACAGAATGCTTGAAGCTTTCGTCGAACTCAACAAACCAAGTTTTGTCTCCTGTCATATGGTTTGAACACCCAGAGTCGAGAAACCAAATACCTTTTCCTTCAGATTTACTGACTTCTGTGTGTGCCATTAAGAGGAGTTCTTCTTCCTCGTCGAACTCGGTATAATTGACTCCTTTTTCCAGACTTGAGCATTCAAATTGATAATGTCCTTGCTTTCCACATCGAAAGCAATTAATGGCTGACCTGTTAACGAAAGATCTACCTCTTCCTCGTCCTCTAAAGTTGCCGCCTCTGAAGTTACCGCTTCTAGAGTTGCCATTTCCTCTCTGATATATGCCTCTGCCTCTTCCTTGTACATTCCTTTGCTCGTTCTCCACCTGTAGAACTTGTTCTTCACTTCTTTTCTCAATCACCTTTTGTTCATGTACAAGCAGAGATGCTTGCAATTCATCTACTGTCATATCATCAATGTCTTTGGACTCTTCGATGGAGCATACCACAAAGTTGAAGTTGTCCGTAAGACTTCGAAGTATTTTTTTCAACAATTTTAACATCATTCATGTTTTCTCCACAGTTCCTCATTTCATTGGCAGTAGACATGACTCTTGCGAAGTACTCAGAAACACCTTCTCCCAATTTCATTTCTAGGGTTTCAAATGTTCTGCGAAGCCGTTGTAGCTGTGCACGCTTCACTCTAGCACCTCCCTGATACTTGACTTTCATTGAATCCCACAACTGTTTGGCTGTTTCCTTCTGGGTGATGGTTTTCAAGATGCTCTTGTCTATGGACTGAAAAAGATAGTTCTTTGCTTTGAGATCTTTGAGTTTTGCTTCGTCGAGTGCCTTCGCGCTTATGCCTTCGGTCCCCTTCAACTCTTCGAGCCCTGGTTCAATGACGCTCCAGTACTCCTTGGAGCGGAGGAGATTTTCCATAAGTAAGCTCCAGTGATCATAGTCACCATCGAACTTCGGAACGCATGGTGTTGAGAAACTTTCTGCTGCCATTTTTCCTTTCTTCTGTGTTTTTCCTCTCAAACACTATTGCAGACTTTCCCTACTTCCTCTCAGTGTTTTTCCTCTCAAACACTCAATTTGTATATTACTATTATCAGGCCCTTTCGAGCTCTGATGCCAGATAAAGGAAATAGAACAGAAACGTAAGCTAGAATACTTGATCGTTTATTCAAAAGACTGCTACAACTTTTATAAAGCCTTACAATTTAAGTGTAACTGAAATAGAGAAAAATAAGGAAAACAGAATATAACAAACTGGAATAAATCAACTCCTAAAAACTAGCTTATTAAGACCTATTCTCTAGCTTTAACGGTAAACCCAACATCCACCTCATGTATTTATAATCAAGAATTTACAATCAAGATCCCCGAATAAAAAATAAATAAAACAAAAAAGATCCCTGAATTATAGGTACAAGAATAAGAGCTAATATCATAAAAATGGAAACAAAATTTCTCCATAATGGAAATTAAGGAAACTAAATCAAGGCAATATCTCAACAATATGGAACCAATTGATATAAAAATGACTTGTATGTAATATCAGGAAATAAAGGAAACAAAATGGAACCAATTGATATAAAAATGACTTGTATGTAATATTAGGAAATAAATAAAACAAAAAAGATCCCTGAATTATAGGTACAAGAATAAGAGCTAATATCATAAAAAAATGGAAACAAAATTTCTCCATAATGGAAATAAAGGAAACTAAATCAAGGCAATATCTCAACAATATGGAACCAATTGATATAAAAATGACTTGTATGTAATATCAGGAAGAGATGACATTAAAGAAGAAGAAGAAGAAGAAAAATGCGGTCAGTTGCTTACCATATTTTGTGGCTAAACCCCAATAACGAGCTAGCCAACACCTCTTCAGAACAACTTCCTCCTGAGAAGAAGATAGCTTATAATAATGAGAAGTACAAACAACTTACAAATACCATTGGATTCCATTAACTGCTGAAGTACCTACCATTTCTTTCTGAGTTAATACCATTCTTTGTGTCATTGATCGGAGAGCTTTCACTTCAGATTCAGCTCCATTCTGCTGTCTCACTGTTGCTTCAGTCTCTACTTTTGCGCGCTAGTTGAGAGGAGATGGTTAAACATATATGGTAGCTTGTATTTAGAATATTTTTATAAATTGACATAATCACCTCAACTTCAGCCTGTAGAGATGTGATTTCCTTATCAACTCCATCCTTTGATTCTCTTGAACTTTTCAGTGCGGCCTATGAAATATAAAACTGTCATAATAAGAGATAAAATAAGAAATAGTAGAACATCCATCTATTTTGTTGATAAATAGTTCCATTCCATTCACTGGATAGCATATTTTAACCACACCATAATGTTATTAGTAGGCCTGTCTATCACTAGGACTTATGACAGAAAGAAGCATAGAAATCAAACTAGTGTTTGAGCAGAAGTTATGTAATATTTGTAGGCAATTTACTGTATTATTATTAAACATCGTGTGTACAGTAATTGCTGTTACTCATGTGTAACTCCTGTAGGAAGTTAGAATAATTACTATGGGCTGAAAGGGAAAAGGGAGGTCATTCGGTAGTTTTATGTTTGGTTGGTTAGGAGAGACTAGGCTCTCAAATTCTTAGAGGCTGGGTTATTGTATCTCTCCTTGTTCGCATAACCAACTCTAAAGGATGCCATACTAGAGTATTGTTAATATAAATTGTATTCAGGATATATTACCCCTCACTTACTCATAAATTCTAGATCTATATCGGTATCAGAGCTCTGCTCCTAGGACCATCTGGTAATAAATAAATAAATAAACAAATAAACATAAAGAAGAACCAATGGATTAGAAGAATGGAAACCATTAAAATAAAGAGCCTTCCGAAAAAAAATGATTCCTAATTTTAATGTGAGAAAGACTTATTTGTGGAAGATCCAAGTGTACTAAAAAAGTAAGAGTTTCATTAGCTGATTAGTTGGCATTGAGAAGGAAGCATTTGAATGGTGGACTTCTTGGAGACAGAAAAATCATCATGCAACATGGTGGACCTTTGAGAAATCAGTGCAAAGGCAATTTCAACTAGAAGTTTGGGGTTGACTTCTAGATTTAGAAATTGAAAAATAAGAAAATAAAGGCGGTGCTCCAATTCAAGAAAATAAGAAAATAAAGGCGGTGCTCCAATTTAAGAAGAGAAGCAAGAACTATTAGCATCTCAAAATCAAACGAAATCAAAAGTGAAGATGAAGATGAAATGGTACAGATGAATAAACACTACCAAAAAGAAGGCAGGAATCTGAATGTAGAAGCAGAACCAGAAAGAGGAAGCGAACAGAGGCTAACCAGAGCACCGTGCAGTGTGCAAAGACCAATTTAAGTATAACAAAAGGGAACGGTCAAGATGAAGGAACGTGTCGAAGAAAAAGAGAAGGATATAGTATTGGATAGAGTGAAAGGGGGCAATAAGATGTGAGTTTGTTATGAAACATTGCTTAGAAGTGGAGATACCATGCATGTACGGCAATCCGGCTGTCGTCACCATTGCCACCACAATTAAGAAAGATTGCAACAGAGAAAATTAGTGAATTGAGATTCAAAGATGGCCCGACTGAGTGGCTGCCACCAGAAAGGTTAGGCCAACAACCACTGTCGTCAAAACAATGGGAACAGTTAGTCCAACAAGCAATGTTATCACAGCTCGCACGACAAAAATAGTAGGTTAAACAGGCCGGCCTGTCCGGACCAACCTGTTTTACCATCCCTCTTCCAAGCACAGTCTAGGAGCAATAAATTTCCACTAATGGTGTTGCTGTTGTCCACAGTGTTGTCGATGGTGGATGGCGGTCCATGGCAGAGAGCCAAAATCCCGCCATACCAGGCGCTTCGTGGCGCTGTTATTGCGCATTATGGCAGAAAAACCAGCAATAGCGGCCAATATTTACCATTGCGGCGAGCTCAAAAACCACCATGTATATCCTCCATAGCGGCCATTGCGCTGCAATTTGACAACACTGGTTGTCCAAACCACCAGATCCACTGTGCACCATCATCGGCGACATAGGATGCAACATATACAAATATGTGTGAAAACCAATTAATGTATTTTGAGTATATATCATGAACCACCAGATCCACCGTGCACCATCATCGGCGACATAGGATGCAGCATATACAAATATGTGTGAAAACCAAATAATGTATTTTGAGTATATATCATAACCACCAGATCCACCACGCACCATCATCGGCAACATAGGATGCAGCATATACAAATATGTGTGAAAACCAAATAATGTATTATGAGTATATATCATGAACAAGCGCACTAATTTTTTTATATAGACCCTTCTAACCTAATGAGTTTGACCAATGGTCTAAAGGTCCAAATACAAATTACTACTAACAGTAGTAAAAGTAAATTATTTACAACACTCTCTGAAGCTGACAAATGAATATTTATCCTTCCCATTTAGATAACAATTTTTTTTAAATTATTCTTACTCCCCTTAGTTAGAAGATCGGGAAGGTTTCCTTCAGAAGAGACATATGAAGTACTAAAAGGATCAATATTTAATTTTTCTTTGATTAAGTGTCTAACAACTTTAATATGTATTGTTCTATCGTTCTGCATTGGATTATGGGTTATGCTAATAGAAAATTTTTATCACAATAGTCTCATTCATTCATTACTCTTTAACTTCAAGTCTTCTAAAGTCATTTTTAGTCATAGTAGGTTGTATATTCAGTACTCGATCTGGATACCACAGTTTATTCTTTACTCTTTTACTAACTCGCAAGATTCCCACCTAGGAAAGGAAATATCTTGCAGTTGATTTCCTAACCACGTTGGCACTGCTTGGCCAACATCAATATATGCTTCAAGACACACACTTCCATTATGTTCAAACAAAATTCTTCTACCTAGAATTCCTTTCAAATATGGCACAATTCAGAATGCAACTTGTAAATGAACCTCTTTTGATTGGTGCATGATTGCGCTTTCCAACTTTAAACTTGGATCCATTGATGTATTTGCAAACATTCAGGTTGTCTTGTCAGCCTCTTGCAGAAGATCAGCAATGTATTTCTATTGAGATATGAAGATTCCCTTCTTAGAGTGGGCAACTTCAATTTCCAAAAAAGTATTTCAATTTTTCCACGGTCTTACTCTCAAATTCATTGGTTAAGTGGTTGCCTAACAAGTGCCTACTAAGTGGTTACTCTCAAAAAGTATTTTAAATTTTCCGTAGGTAAGACTTTCAAAGGAGTTTTGGAGTCAAGGACATTAAAAGGTAAACGTTTTATAAGATACGATGCAGTTAAACCTTTTAATGTCCTTGACTTCAATTTCCAAAAAGTATTTCAATTTTTCCCCGGTCTTACTCTCAAATTCATTGGTTAAGTGGTTGCCTAACAAGTGCCTACTAAGTGGTTACTCTCAAAATGTATTTTAATTTTTCCGTAGATAAGACTTTCAAAGGAGTTTTGGAGTCAAGGACATTAAAAGGTAAACGTTTTATAAGATACGATGCAGTTAAAGCCACCTAGCCGCAATATTTCTTAAGAACCTTATTTTAGAATATCATAGCACATATTTGGTCTAACAGTCTAACAGGTATCTGTTTTTTCTCTAAGAAATTCAATTTTGTTATGGTGTTTTAACATGGAAAGACTCATAAATGATACTTTCTTTTTGACAGAAAGAATTAAGATGGTGATTAACGTAATCTTTGACATAATCAGACCTAAGTCTTTTAATACTCACATCAAACTACCATGGGGAAGAGGTGGAAAAACACATAACTAACTTTGGATTTTTGTTCTAACAAGTAAATCTGAGACCTGAGTGCAATGATCAATAAAAGTTACAAATCAACAGCCACCTGATATACTTGGGGCATTAGATGGACCTCACACATCAATATGAATTAAATAAAACAAAAAAGTACTTACTTTATTATTAACTGAAAAAAAGACACAATTATGTTTAACAAACTGAGACACAACATCTAAAGTTTTAAAAAAAATGAAGAAAATAATTGTTTTATGACTCTAAATGAAGGATGATCAAGGCAACAGCAGTGCAGAAGGAATACTCAGGTTGGTCTTAAGTGATTCAGAAAAAATGAGTTGTTGTTGTTGAGTAGATATGGAGGAATACTCAGGTTATCCAAAAAAAAAATAAAGGTCATTTCATTATCTACCATTTTCAATCGTCCTCCCTGGATTCTTGTCCTAGAAAACACAAGCATTGTCATAAAAAAAATATTGCATAATAGGTCTTTTGTGATTTTTTGTATGAAAATTAGTCTAGTAGACAATTTGGGAATATGAAAAATATTTCGTAGGATTATAAATGGACTTATTTGAACATGTTAAAATATGATATATTATTTCCTTTTCTTATTATTTTAACTTTTATGTTTATTTTATTTTTCTTACATCTCTCTAGAAATTAAGGAGTTCACTGATTGTATTTTCTCCTATAAAGAGCCCCTTATTCATAATACAATATAACCAATATTATTCTCATCAAAACATCTCTTTGACCGGCTACAGTTATAAGGGTAGTATCTATTGTGAATGTTTCTATGTTGCTAGGATAAAGTGAATAAGTGAAAAATGTGTAATGTGTATGGATAAAAGTGTCATGTGTGGTCGGTGGCTCTAGAATTTAGTATCCAATATTAGTTATAGGATTTATTCAAAGCATTAAGTTCAAAAACAAAAATGGAGACTTACCAAGAGGAAATGGGAAACAAAAATGAACTTGAGAAAAACCTGTTGGTTTCTCAAATTTATTAGAGAAGGGTCTCGACTTCTCTCTTAATTAGTGTTGGGGGCATAATATGTGCAATATTAACAGGCAATTGATTTTTTTATCATTCAATGTTATGTGTGTGTGTGCAGTAACTGCTAAGTAACTATGGTAGGAATCCGGGATGATAAATATAGGCAGAAAGGGAAAAGATAATTTCCATATTACCTCTCTTTGACGTAATGCGGCTTCCTTTCTGTAATGTAAAAAGATTGAGTTCATAAATACTGCCAAGGGAAGGAACAACCATTTGTAACATGTTTAACTTTAATTTACTCGCCTGCTCAAGAGTTTAGCTTCCAAAGATACTCCTTCTCCAAGGGAAGCGACCTAAAAACAGCATATGCAACAAAAGTTCACCGGTGCAAAACATATATCTAAAATACAAGTGTCTATCTCAAGCTATAAAGCACAGACTCCAACATAGACACGTGAAACAATGCGGACACATCAACACTGCTAATGTAAAAAATTGAAGACACCAAGACCGCTACATATATATTTATTTATTATAATCATATAAAATATTAATATTAATATTATTGTTAAAAGATATAAGTTGACCTTTAATTAAAAAAGTTTAAAAAGAAATATTGTAATCAAATTTAATGTATTATACCCTTCTTTATTCTTTACTTTTACTGGTTAGTTAAGGGACAATGGAGCAAGACCCAAACTCCTATACCAATGGCAGAAGCAGTGACAACGAGCCAGATGCCACATTCTCGAAGACTAGCATTGTATATTAGAATAGCTGAACAGAGCCTAGATGCAATCCAGTCTATCCAGGTAAAATGAAATTAGAAGGCTAAAAAGTAATTTACTCTCGAATGCAAAATCACAAGCAATGCAGCAAGAAATTGAGTTACAGACTGTTATTGCACCAACGAATAATAAGCCAAAAATCATTCAGAAGAACATAATAAACTCTAAAAACAACAATATTGTAACCTGATAAATAGGGGTGGAAATATTATATGATAGACCAGGCTAATTTTTTTCTTAAATAGGCATGGCATATTCAATAAATGCAAAGTATAAGCTTAATCTACTATCTGCCGTAGATTTATGTCCGAGTCTTTCTTTTTATAGGTATGGTATGACCTGCTAAATTATTTAAAGCAAGTTTTATATTATAGTCTTTAAACAAATAATCTGACTTATTTTTAAATACATTAACAAATAAAAGGGTCAATTGTATTATGTTCTATTTTGAGATTTAACATAATCTTTTAAAAAATTGAGTTTATATAGCATCCTATTTAAATTCTATGTTATGATAATATCTTTAAAAATGTGAAAAACTAGTGCGGGAGGATGCTTAAAGTTACTGGAAATGTTACTAATTTATGGTTTAACACGAAGTACAAAAAATAATATGATAATAAGAGCAATAAAAAAATTTGTTTATATTTAATTATAAATATCCGTCTATTAGACTAAAAAGGTATAGTCTTTGTCTGAAGTCTGACTTTTTAATTAAATAAACTTATAAAAACTTTAGCTTTATTTACCTAAATCAATTGGTCTAATCTGGTCATAGCCTCTATAAGTGGTCCTAATCTATTCCCACGGCTAATGATTAAATATTTAAATGTGAATTGGGAACTAATCGGCCTCCTTAATTACATTTACTAGGTTGTTTCTAGAATAGACGACACAAATAAGAAATTCATTTGTTCTAGTTAATTATAATTATTTGTTATAATCAATCAACTTGAGGAAAGTGAATTCTCTTTCATTTGAATAATTTGAATAGTATAGAGGGGGAAAATAAATAGAAGAAATTATGATTATGTATCTATTTCTTATACCTAAGGATCAGGAGGAATATTGCCCTGATCATCACTACGGCTGATAAAGGAAAAAACCACGCACCTCTTAATCATTAAGAGTTGTACAAGGTTCCTGATCAATATTAATCAAAATCACATCCAAGTCTAACGGATTCTCATTTGATTATAATTATCTACACTCCCTCTCAATCTAGGAAATAGATGTCTATCATACCTAGATTGGCTTTGGGATTTTCAATAGCGTGTCTCTAAATTTGGTAATATGTTAGGTGTTTGGTGGCACGATGGCACATAGTGAACAGAAATGATACCTTGATCAAACTTCTCCTTTTACGAAGTGTCTATCAATCTCCGCATGTTTTGTTTTATCTTGTTGAACTAGGTTCTTTGCCATGCTGATTGCAACCTTATTGTCACACAGAACGATCACCCCCCACAATTGTTGGAAATTCCTAACTCTTCAAGTATCCTCTTTAGCCACATCCTCTCACAGATTCCTTGAGTCATGGCTCTAAGTTCTACTTTTATGTCTTGCTACCACAGACTACTTCTCTACACGACCATGCTTTCCCATATAAATGAACTGTAGCCTGGTGTGGATTTTGCTCTAACTCGCATCCTACCCAATTTGAATCCAAGTAGCCTGTGAAACCTTTGTCTGGATTTGTCTTGAAGTAAAGAACCTTTCCTTAAGTTCCTTTAAGATACTGCTTGATCATCCTTACTGCTGTCCTATGAAGTATGGATATTTCAAAAACTCAGCCGAACTGTATCCGATAAGGCGCCGATACATGTCAAAGGAGTATCCAAATTTATTTATTTTAAAAAAATAAATAGAAAATTTTTTATACGGCAGCGATACGCCTCCAATACGTCCCAGATATGTGACTTTTCAATTTTTAACGGATTCTTTTCTTTTTTAATGACTTTTCATTCCTTTTAATTTTTTAATGGCTATTCTTTAATATCCTATTTAATTCCTTCCAGAAACTTACCATTTTACAAAAATGGTTTAATTTCCCATCATTTCTTATCAATTTTCATTATTTTAAATTTAATTTATATTACAACGTTACCTTCTTCTTCTTCATACCTTCATATTTTAAATTTAATTTATATAGTATCTACTCTTTTTCAATTAGCAATGTATTGCCATATCATGTATCCCATACTTGTATCATGTCCGTGCTTCATAGCTGCTGCCATATTTTCCTCTGTGGGATTAGACATATGGTGGCTAGATATACTTACTGCAAATCCTATATATGACTGAGGGTGTCAAATAGACGAGTTTTTCCACTAAGTGTTGATACTTGTCTTTCTCGATAAGAATGCTTTCTTCTTTTGATCTGCTTCCTTTAGTTACCACTATTAAGGTATTTCCTTTAGGACATGTAGATTCCGTCCCTTGTTCGAGCTACTTCTATTCCCAAAAAAGTACTTAGACTTCCTAAATCTTTTACTTCAAATTTTCTTGCCAAGAACCACTGTAGGTGTTCAATTTGCTCATTGCCATTCCTAGTAATGAGAATGTTATCAACCTACACAAAAAACAGTGAGATCTTGCCTTCCGGGTAAATGTTTGACAAATATAGTTGGTCTGTTAGTCATTAAGTGAGCCCTTGTTTTATAACTAGGGCCAGCTGTGAAACTAGGCTCTTCGAAATTGTTCGAGGCCATATAATGATTTTTGGAGCTTGGACACTTGTTTATGGTGTCGGGTGATTCCAATTCTATCTGGATTTGCATATATACTTCCTCTTCTAGTTCACTATTCAAGAATGTGCTTTGTATGTTTAATTGATGTGGTGATCAATCCAAACATGTAGCCAAAGACAAGATGATTCGAACTCAATTGAGTTTAGCCACGAGAGCGAACGTTTCTATATAATCCACACCATATGTTTATGTTGTAATCTATTAGAAGTAATTCATATTTATTAGTTGTACTATTTTCTTAGCCCCTAAGTCTGTTAGAGGATATTTTAGTATTTTTATCTCATTCTAGTAACCCTAGTATTAGCTTATAAATAGGGTAACAATCATTGTAATGTTGTGTAGCCGTCATTCTCTTAATAGAATATTTCTCATTCATCATTTATTCTACCTTTGCACCAACAATTGGTATCAGAGCTCCGGTTCTTATTCATTGGGAAACAAAATCTGAGCAGAATTTTAATTCTGTGGGTTGGGAAACACTGTGTGAGAAATCTGAGTGTACTGTGCAAGATAGAAGATGAACGGAAACAGCAACATGAACACCAAACTTTCAGTATTTGACGGTAAAAACTGAAATCGTTGGATGATCCAAATGCGTGTACTGTTTGGTGCTCAAGATGTTTTAGATCTTGTCACTGATGGTTATGTTCCAGTAGCAGTAAATGCAACAGATGAACAGAAAAACACGCAGAAGGAAGTAAAGAAGAAGGATCAGAAAGCATTGTTCTTCATTCATCAATGTGTGGATGTAAATGTGTTTGAGAAGATTGCAAATTCAACAACAGCAAAGGCTGCGTGAGACACACTGGTGAGATGTTATGGTGGTGACGCATCAGTGAAGAAAGTAAAGCTTCAGTCCTTGAGAAAGCAATATGAGAATCTCAACATGAAGAATAATGAGAAAGTCTCTGAATACATCTCCAGAATGATTCTGATCACTAATGAGATGAAGGCGTGTGGAGAAACTCTTTCTGAAGAAGCAATCATGGAGAAAGTATTGAGATCCCCTACCCCTCAATTTGATTACATTGTGGTAGCAATAGAACATTCCAAAGATCTGAGCATCATGAGAATTGAAGAGCTGCAGAGCAGTCTAGAAGCGCAAGAGTTGCGTTTGACTGAGAGAATTTCTGAAAAGGAAGTAGAGCAGCAGGCTCTGAAAGCAACTTCTGATAGGAGGTATCAGAAAGCAATATGATAATCTCAACATGAAGAATAATGAGAAAGTCTTTGAATACATCTTCAGAATGATTCTGATCACTAATGAGATGAAGGCGTGTGGAGAAACTCTTTCTGAAGAAGCAATCATGGAGAAAGTATTGAGATCCCTTACCCCTCAATTTGATTACATTGTGGTAGCAATAGAATATTCCAAAGATCTGAGCACCATGAGAATTGAAGAGTTGCAGAGCAGTCTAGAAGCGCAAGAGTTGCGTTTGACTGAGAGAACTTCTGAAAAGAAAGTAGAGCAGCAGGCTCTAAAAGTAACTTTTGATAGGAGGTATCAGAAGCAGTCAGAAGTCAGGAGAAGATCTGATGGTGGTCAGAAGTCAGAAAACTCAACCTCTGATAGACAAAAGAATGCTCAGAAGGGAAAAGAGAAGTATGACAAGAAGAAGATCCAATGTTACTGTTGTAAGAAGTTTGGTCACTTTGCTAGAGATTGTTGGTCAAACAAGGAGAGAAAATCAGAAGAAGCAAATATAGTCAGAAGTTCTGATGACGAATCTGTGCTATTGATGGCTTCTGAATCTGATAATATGGATCTGATAGACCGGTGGTATATGAACACTGGCTGTTCAAATCATCTTACTGGAAACAAGAAATGCCTGGTTGACTTTGACTCTGAAAAGAGAACAAAGATCAAATGTGCTGATGACAAATATCTTAATAAAGAAGGTATGGGAAATGTCAGAGTGATTCTGAACAATGAGAAAACAACATTGATTCAGAACGTGTGGTATGTACCTGGCATCAGAAGCAATATGATGAGTGTGGGACAATTAATTGAGAAAGGTTTTTCAGTTACCATTAAGGACAATCTTCTGAAACTATATGACTGCAATCAGAAGTTGATTATGGAGTCAGAACAGGGAAGGAATAGAACATTGTGCAACAAGTGTTGAGAAGGAGAGTGAGCTGTGGCACAGAAGATTTGGTAATTTGAATTTCAGAAGCTTAAAACATCTGAATTCAAAGAAGTTGGTACATGGAATTCCTGCAATTAAGAAGTCTGAAAAGTCATGCAAAGTTTGCATGGAAGGAAAACAACCACGATTGCCATTTGCGTCAGAAGCTGCTCCAAGAGCAAAACATGCATTGGGAGTTGTACATTCTGATGTGTGTGGTCCATTTCCAATAGCATCAATTGGAGGGAATAAATACTTTGTGTTGTTTGTTGATGAATTCACAAGAATGACATGGGTATCCCTTATTAAGTTCAAACATGAGGTGTTTGATGAATTTAAGAAGTTCAGAATGAAGGCTGAGAATCAGAGTGGTTAGAAGTTGAAGATTCTTAGAACTGATGGTGGAGATGAATATAACTTCAAAGAGTTCCAGAAGTTCTGTGAGGAGAATGAAATTGAGAATGAGGTTACTGCTCCTTATACCCCTCAACACAATGGTCTTGCTGAAAGAAGAAACCGCACTTTGCTTGATATGGTGAGAAGCATGCTAAAGGAGAAGAAGCTTCCTCAGAAGATCTGGGGAGAAGCTGTTGTCACTGCAACGTATGTACTCAACAGATGTCCTACGAAGAAGTTGAAGGAAATAGTTCCAATACAGAAGTGGACTGGAGATAAGCAAAGTGTTAGTCATCTGAAGGTGTTTGGTTCTGTTCGCTATAAACATGTTCCAGAAGTCAGAAGACAGAAGCTGGATGATAGAAGCAAAGTGATGATTCTGATAGGGTACCACAGTACAGGTGCATACAAGCTCTATTGTCCAGAAACTAATAAAATTGAATTCAGCAGAGATGTGATTGTGAAGGAATCAGAAGTTTGGAATTGGGATAAGTCTCAATCTGATTCTGATGTTAGAACTTCTGAAGAAAGGTCAAAGTTAAGAATTTCTGAAGTTGGAGTAAACTCTGACGTTGACTCAGACTCTGATAGTGAGTCAGACTCTGGAAATATGCCAGACTCTGAAAATGGTCAAAACTCTGGAGGAAGTCAATCATCTGAAGCTAGAAACTCTGAAGCTCAAGACTCTGAACAAGTTTAGAGACCACAAAGAATAAGAAACGTCCCCAAAAGATATGCAAAATTTGACATGCTGCAAGACACTGAAGTAGACTCTGAAGGAGAAACTATTCAGTGTGCCATGATAGTAGACTCTGAACCCATAAGTACAGAAGAGGCTCTTAAGCAGAAGCTCTGGCTGAAGGCCATGAAAGAAGAATTTGATGCTATAGAGAGAAACAAGACTTGGGAGCTGACAGAACTTCCAAAAGACAAGAAAGTCATCAGCGTCAGATGAGTTTTCAAGCAAAAGTTAAAGCCAGATGGTTCAATTGACAAATATAAAGCAAGTTTGGTAGCCAGAGGATTTCTACAGAAACCTGGGTTGGATTATTCTGAAGTGTTTGCACCTGTAGCAAGACATGAAACAATCAGAATGGTGATTGCAATAGCTGCTAACAGGAATTGGCCTCTGATGCATTTAGATGTAAAATCTGCATTTCTGAACGGTCCATTAGAAGAAGAAGTTTACGTGTCACAACCTCTTGGATTTGTGAAAAAGAATCAGGAAGGGATGGTGTACAAATTATACAAAGCTCTATATGGACTGAAACAAGCGCCCAGAGCTTGGAATCAGAAGATTGATTCATTTTTCAAGAAGCAAGACTTTCAGAAATGTGAGATGGAGTACGGTGTCTATGTTCAGCATACTTCTAAAGGAAATATGACTCTGATATGTTTATATGTTGATGATATACTATTGACTGGAAGTTCTGAACAGGAGATAGCCAAGTTCAAGAAAGTTCTGATGAATGAATTCAAAATGACTGATCTAGGCAAAATGACATACTTTCTAGGGATGAAGTTCGGATATTCTGAGAAAGGTATCATTTTGTATCAGCTCAAGTATGAATTAGAACTTCTGAAGAGATTTGAACTGAAGAATTGTAAGATTGTTGTCACATCTTCTGATACAAATCAGAAACTGGATTCTGACTCTGATGGAAAGGATGTGGACGCTACAACTTTCAAACAGTTGGTTGATTCTCTGAGGTATTTGTGCAATACCAGACCTGATATTTGCTATTCTGTTGGGATGGTTAGTAGGTTCATGAGTAAACCTAAGTGGTCCCTTACCAAGCTGCTGTCAGGATTTTGAGGTATATCAAGGGAACTCTGGAGTATGGAGTGTTGTTTCCTTCTGGAAGAAAGGATGAGTCAGAACTTCTGAGTTATTCAGATTCTGATTGGTGTGGAGACAGAGTTGACAGAAGAAGTACCTCTGGATATTTGTTCAAATTTCTGGGAGGTCCCATTTCTTGGTGTTCCAAGAAGCAACCTGTTGTGGCGTTATCAACCTGTGAAGCTGAATACATTGCAGGTGCTGTTACTGCATGCCAAACTGTGTGGATTCTGAATCTGTTGCAGGATCTGAAGATTAAAATAAACAAACCTCTGAAGCTGATGATTGACAACAAGTCTGCAATCAATCTTACCAGAAACCCAGTGTTGCATGGGAGAAGCAAGCATATTGAGACCAAATATCATTTTCTGAGACATCAAGTTCAGAGCGAAGTGTTAGAAGTTGTACACTGCAGCACTCAGAAACAGTTGGCAGATGTTCTGACGAAAGCTATCAAGACTGATCAATTTCTCAGACTAAGGGATGGAATTGGTGTTACAAGTTTTGATGGAATATGAATTAAGGGATGATATTAGAAGTATTTCATATTTATTAGTTGTACTATTTTCTTAGCCCCTAAGTCTGTTAGAGGGTATTTTAGTATTTTTATATCATTCGAGTAACCCTAGTATTAGCTTATAAATAGGGTAACAATCATTGTAATGTTGTGTAGCCGTCATTCTCTTAATAGAATATTTCTCATTCATTATTTATTGTACCTTTGCACCAACATAATCAACATAATATTTGATAGAGAATGTCCACTTACATCCAACTTGTTTCTTCTCTTTAGGTAGAATAGTAATATCCCAAGTTACATTCTTAGTCAATGCTTTGTCCATTTTGGATGTTGGAAAGAGTCTTGAATGTTCCTAGGTATAGAGGTGCTATCCATGTTCCTAGGTATAAAGGGAAATAACTAATACACCTCCTAATCATTTACAATTTTACAAAGGCTCCTAAGCAATAATTAATCAGAATCAAATCAAATATGATTGATTCTCATATAACTATAATTATTTACGTACCTGTATAGATTGTAACCTCTATATATACCAAGAGAAAGGTATGAAGCCTTAACTTTCAATTTGTGTCGCCTATTCTATGAACAAAGTAATAAGTGTAATTAAGGGGACAAATCAATTTCTGATACGCAAAAGAAACTGAGGAAGCACCTGTTTCTCAAGCTCCTTAACTCTGGCCTCTGTTTCCTTGCATCTCTCTTCCTCCCGTCTAAGCTGTGCATTTCAGAAACAGTTGAGTACTTATAACTTAGTTCATTCACAAACGAGTGAGAACATTAACATAGAAAATTGCATTACCTTGTCAAAAATACTTCCATTCTCTTCCCTAAGCACGTCGACCTGCAGACCCGGGGAATTGTTTATGGTTAATTTTGAAGATAGAAATTATATATATATATATATATATATATATATATATATATATATATATATATATATATATAAAACACATTTCTCGTATATACTATCCAATATCAAATATGTTGTTAAATATAAAAGTGTATTGAGATTTTCTACTTTTACAAGACCTCTTTCAAACTTGAAAAATACATTCATTATTTCTTTATCAAAATAGGCCTACTTATTTTACATATTTTTTCCTATAATTTGTAATAAATACTCTTATACAAATTATATAAATTGTGAACCAATTTTCTTTTGTTTTTTGAAACAGTCCTTTTAATCTGGTGTTTATAGTAGTGAGTATATGATAATCCATCCTTAAGAGACGCATGAATAGAATATTTGGCAGAAGAAAGAAATGAACCTCATCGCGAAGACCGGATGCTTCACGGTTGTCTCCTAAATCTTTAGGCTGAATGGGTCCGTTATGAAAGGGAAATCTGTAAATTTTGCAGGAAAATAAATAAGAAAAAGAAAGAGGATGTGCAGTGAGAAACAAATAAAGGCAATAATTAGTGGAGAGAGGACCTTTTATCTTTGGGCTTAGTGTTATGAATGGACGGTTGTATTGGCAGAACAGGGGGTGGAGTCCTCTGATTCAGCGGTGGTCTATTATTAGATGCTACTACCGCTGATTCTTCCTTATTAGATGGAGATCTATGAGTATGAGTAGTAGTGGTGGTGGCGGAGGACTTCCTGGAGAGAGCGAGAGGAGGAGGAGCACTGTAGCGAAATCCTAGATCGTCATCATCGTCGTCATCGACAGTCTGAGAAGCCATGACTTGGGCGAGGCGTTGAGCAGCGGCTTTAGCAGCAACATTCTGAGTTCTTTTAATGGTTGAAATTCCGGTGAGGGAAGAGGAGCGAGCATGTCCACCATTACGTGAGTGTGATGGGGAAGAAGAAGAGATCACATTCCCAGATTCACTACTCCAGTGCCGCTCCATCACATGCCCAGATTCACTACTCCAGTGCCGCTCCATCACATGCCCAGATTCACAATAACTAGTAATGAGTACGCACTGGTTAGTTAGCTAGTGCGAGCCACTGAAAAAAGCAACAGGCGGATTCAAAATTGACTGCACACATTAATACGTAACAATTGTCTTCCCAAAATACTAACTAACTGTGCAATTAATTCACAACTACTCTATCTTCATACTTCTTTTTTTAAATCATTTTTATAAATTTTAATATCTATTAATCACTTTTTCTTAATAATTTGTATAAAATTATTTTTATTTTTATTTTTTATTTATTTTACGTTTTTTTAATATTCCTAAATGGCCGGAGGAAATAATTAATAATTGATTTTGGTCATCCATGTAAGTTTCAGTTCTAGTTTTGGTGGTGTGGTGCCTCCTTTGGCCGCTCCACTCCTAACCTCTTTTGAGGTTATTGCTGTTATACTAAATTTTTCAACTTGATTATAAATGGCAAATATCATGAGAGTAACCACAACCACGCCACATAGAAAGTTAAAATATAGTGAGTCCACATGATCAATATGGCTCAAGGTTAGAAGTCACATAAAGTGATGTCAGTCGAAAGTGGCAAGGTCGAAGAAAGTGGTGACGAACTTAAGAATTTAGTAAAATTGAATTCATCACTACAATGGGAGTAATATCCACTCAGTCACCACATATGGAGTTCATCACTATAATGTAAACAATGCTAACTTAGATGCCACATGTGGAGTTCATCACTACAATGGACAATACAATAAAGCATGTTGTCTTAACTTGGTCGACATTGAATGTCTCAACGAGGATAGTTAGTTCTTGGCACCCAGTAAAGCAGTTAAGAAATTCCAATGATATTACGAAGCGGGAACTGCGTCAGCATCAACGGTTATTCAGCAAAATGTGGGAACACGTCGAGGAAAACCACTGAAATGGATTTATGATGTGTTATCATGGGAGTAATATGTCATTCTTAGGTTGTTATCATAAAGTAGTATATAAGCAAACTTAGACCACCTCCAACGGTGGTTTTTCAAATTGGTTTGCCAGCTTGGCATTGAAATTGTCAACAAAAAGTTGTTCCAGCTGGTGAACGTTACAAACATAAGCAATGATTCTTCATTTTTTTTATTATTAAAATAATCATTTAGCCGTTGTGCAACGGCTTTATTTTTTTTTAAACTTTTTTTATTTATTATAAATATAGGTTTGTTGGAAAAATTGTATACCAATCCCATTTTCTCTCACTTTTATTTACTCTTTAATTTCAAATTTCTCTCTCACAATTTCATCATTTTATTCATAAATATTTAATTTTTTTTCCAACAATTTCTTCTCATTATCATTTTATTTCAAATTTTCATCTTTTTATTTCAAATTACATTTGTTTAGGCCAAATGGATCCTAATCATTTTCATTATCAACAAGCTATGTTCAATTTCATGCAAAATCATCAAAATCCTAATTCTCAAAATTCTCAAATTCGATCAGTACCACCAAACCCCGCCATGTTTTTTCCGTCACCAAACAATCCAAATATGTATCAAAATCCTAATCCTCAAAATTCTCAAGTTCCACCATTTTCTACTCAAGTTGGTGTTGAAAAAGAAGAAAGGGTTCTCGTTAAAAAAAAATCTCGAGAGCAATTTACAAGGGATGAGGATATATGTCTTATCCAATCATGGCTCAATGTTTCAAAGGATCCAATTGTGGGAGTTGATCAAAAAGTTGAGACTTTTTGGCATAGAATCGCTGCAAATTATAACCAGTATCGCGGGCAATTGCGAGAAAAGTTAAGGGGTCAATTAAAATGTCAATGGCATCGAATAAATGCGTCGGTTCAAAAATTTGTTGGGTGTTATAGACAAGCTGTCAATGGAAAGAAAAGTGGGACATCGGAGAACGATATCATGGCTGTTGCACATGCTTTTTATGCTCAAGATTAAGGTACAACATTCAATCTTGAGTATGCATGGTGATTGTTAAAAGATGAAGCTAAATGGGGCATCATCGGAGAATCGATTGGAAATTCTTCAAAAATGACACAGACTTCTGCTAGTGGGGCATCATCGGAGATCCCTGATACACCTTCAAGTTATGAGTTTAACTCATCATCACCAATGGAGCGTCCAATGGGACAAAAAGCAGCAAAAAGGAAGGGTAATGCAAAGGAAATTCCAAATGCAACGCAAGATGCAAGGAATAAAAGAGCAGAAACAATGGAAAGACTTGCGCAAAGTAAGGAGGGCGAGATAGAATTAAAGGTAATGCAAATCATGATGAAAGACACTTCTACTATGAAAGAAAGTCAACGAGAGATTCATGAAAAATATTGTACTAAAATGAGAAAAAAAATATGAACTGTAGTTAGTACCACTTTAAATTATATGTAAAATGGTCATAGTACCACTTTAATTTATCAAATCCTATGTAAAATGGTCATTAGTACCACTTTTATTTATCAAATCCTATGTAAAATGGTCATTAGTACCACTTTAAATCATAATAAATATTATGTTATTCAAACTAGCCATTATTCAAACTAGCCGTTATGAATAACTAGCCGTTATTCAAACTAGCTGTTATGAATAACTAGCCGTTATGAAAAACTAGTCGTTATGAATAACTAGCCGTTATTCAAAACATCATATATACTACCATTTGTGTCATTGTTTTCTCATTCTCTTCTTATTCCTCACTAAAATATGGATTCAGACAATTCATATAATTACGATCAAGAATTTTGGGAGTTAGTTGAAGAAGAATTAATGGACGACAGTGATGAAGAACAACATCTTCAAAATGAATGTCAATTTGGAAGTTCCTCTAGGCCAAAGAGAAAAACTACGGTAGATCGAGGTCGTGAAGAAGGGCACAATCGGTTATTCAATGACTACTTCTCAGAAAATCCAGTATACACAAATGTACAATTCCGAAGAAGGTTCAGAATGCATAGGCATGTGTTTCTTCGAATTGTAGATGCCCTCGGCAATCATGATGAATATTTCCAAATGAGGGTCGATGCAACTGGTAAGATGTGTCTTTCACCATTGCAGAAATGCACATCTGTTATTCGTATGTTGGCATATGGGTCTCCCGCTGACATTGTAGACGAATATGTTCGAATCGGTGAAAGTACCTCAATTGAGTGCTTAGAAAGATTCGTTAAGGGCGTGAATGTTGTATTTGGGGCTGAGTATTTGCGAAAGCCTAACAACACTGATATTGAACATCTTTTACAAATGGGTGAGTCACGTAGCTTTCCAGGTATGTTGGGTTCCATTGATTGTATGCACTGGAAATGGAAAAATTGTCCTGTTGCTTGGAAAGGACAATTTTGTCGAGGTGATCATGGTAAACCCACAATCATGCTTGAGGTTGTGGCATCACAACACTTATGGATTTGGCATGCATTTTTTGGTATTGCAGGTTCTAACAATGACATTAATGTGCTAAACCAATCTAACATGTTTAACGATATTTTGGAAGGACATGTTCCCACTATGCAATATACAATCAATGGAACACCATATAATATGGGGTATTATTTAGCGGATGGTATATATCCTGAGTGGGCTACATTTGTCAAGACCATTTCAATGCCGCAGGGAGAAAAGAGAAAATTATTTGCTCAACATCAAGAATCAGCTAGAAAAGATGTGGAGCGGGCATTTGGAGTGCTCCAGTCTCGATTTGCAATTATATGTGGTCCAGCGCGTGCTTGGCACATGGAAAACCTCAAGCATACAATATATGTTTGCATCATATTACACAGCATGATTGTTGAAGACGAACGACACACATATGGAGGTGATTTTGATTACTCTTATGATAATGTAGATGACAACAACTCAACAACTGAAACATTTAACGGTCCCCATCCGAATCTTGCAACAAGGCTACAAAGAAGAGCAAATATTCGTGAAAAACAGGTTCATCGCCAACTTCAAGGAGATCTGGTCGAGCATATTTGGGAACGTTTTGGACATGAGGAAGATGAAACTTAAATGATGAATTATGTGATGTTATTTATTTTTATTGTTTTTAATTATGTAATGTTATTTATTTTTATTGTTTTTAATTATGTGACATGTATTTAAATTTAATTTTAATTATTATATTCAATTTTATGTTTAATTTTAATTATTATTTCCAATTTTATGTTTAATTTTAATTTTATGTTTAATTTGTATTTATATTAATTAAAATTTAAATATTTAAATTATAATTTTAAATAAAATAAATTTAATATAAATAATATATTTTAAGTAAAGTGGTGGGACCCAATATGGGTTCTTTGGAGTTGCACCATTGGAGTGAAAATTGAATGAGTTGCTTTAAAAGAGTGGGTCCCACAAAGAACCTAAAAATGAGTTGCACCATTGGAGGTGCTCTTAGGTTCATATGTAAAGGGTCCGCAAATTGTACACATTTCTGTAAACTCAAAGTACATGCGTCTTGAGAAACGAGTGAAGAAAGATATACGCATGTGTTCCACCATTTTATACATTTTCAACACTTTTACATTAAAATTCTTTTTATGCATTAAAGTCTCTTTTGATTTCCTTTATTTTTCCTGTCAGTTTACATTACTTGCACTTTAATTTCAACCTTTTATTTTCCTGCATTTTCTCTTTTGATCTCAAAGTCTTTTATTTACTTTACTTGCATTTTACTTATAGTTCTTTTGTTATTTGAATACTCTTTTCTTATTTACAAGTAATCACAACAAACATTTATAAACCTTTTCAAGGAGTTTACTTACTTCGACAACATTATGATTTTTCACAAGTAATGCACGCACAAATATGTTCGGGAGATTTTCGAGCTTGATCCCTTAAGTATTAGTAGAAACTTGTATTTGATTACCAAATTTCCCAGTAAACAAATTGGCACGCCCAGTGGGACTGTTTTGTGTGTTTATGTTTACTTATTTGTGTTGAAAAATTTTAATCCTTATTTTGCTTGTGTTTCATCAAAATTTTGTTTTATGTACGAGTGTGCATGAGATTAAGATGTGG